TTTTTGACAACGGATTCTTAGAAATGCCACCAAAAGCAAGTGCAACGAAAGACAAAATAGATAAACTGGTCTTCAACAAAATGAAAAAAAAATGTACATCAAAAGACTTTATCAACAAAGTGAAGAGAACCTACACAAAGGGAAAAAGTATTTGGAAATCACATACCTGAAAAGGTTTAATATCCAGAATACATAAAGGACTCCGACAACTCAACAACAAAAAGATAAAAAATTCAGTTAAAAGTCAGAGGCCTTGAATAGGCATGTCTCCAAAGAAGACATACAAATGTCCAGTAAGCACATGAAAAGATGATCAAAGTCAGTCAGTAGGGAAATGCAAATCAGAATTACAGTGAGAAACCACTTCACTCCCAGTAGGACGGCTATTTTCAGAAAAAATGGAAACTAACAAGTGTTGTTGAGGATGTGGAGAAGTTGGAACACTCATCCATTGCTTGTAAGATTATAAAATGGGGAAGCACTGTGGAAGACAGTGTGGTGGTTCCTCAAGAAGTTAAACATAGAACTACCACATGATTCAACAATTCCACTTCTATCTATGCATCCAAAAGACTTGAAGGCAGGGACTCCAACAGATATGTGTACACCAATATTCATTGCATCATGAGCTTTGCAGAGCCAAAAGGTGAGAACAATCCAACTGTCCATCGACAGACGTAATATTCCATTTTAAGTCTATACCACATTTCACAACAAAACAATTTTGTGTTAAAATGTGACATATGCGTATGATGGAATATTATTCAGCCACAAAAAGGAGTGAAATTTTAATACCTGCTACAACGTGAATGAACCTTGAAAACATTGTTATGTGAGATAAATCGGACACAAAAAGACAAATACTTTATGATTCCACTTGCATTAAATATTGAGATAGGCAAATTCATAGAGACAAAAAATAGATTGGTATTTACCAGGGACTGGAGGAAAGGGGAAATGGGGAGCTACTGCTTAATAGACACTGAGTTTCTGATTGTAGAGATGAAAAGTGTTGAAAATAGTGGTGCTGGCTGCACAACATGAATGTCATTAATGCCACTGAATTGTACACTTTACAATGGCTAAAATGGCAAATTTTATGTTAAATATATTTTACCACATTAAAAATTACCAAAAAGAGACTCTGTCTTAGTCATCTAGTGCTGCTATAACAGAAATATCACAAGTGGATGGCTTTAAGAAAGAGAAGTTTATTCTCCCACTGTCTGGCAGGTCACAAGTCCAAATTCAGGGCATCAGCTCCAGAGGAACGCCTTCTCTCTTGGCTCCGGAGGAAGGTCCTTGTGATGCCTCAGTCTTCCCTTGGTCCGGGAGCATCTCAGCACAGGAACCTCAGGTCCAAAGGACACGCTCTGCTCCCGACACTGCTTTCTTGGTGGGTGCAAGGTTCCCATGTGTCTCTGCTCGCTTCTCTCTTTTATATCTTGAAAGAGATTGGCTTAAGACACTATCCAATCTTGTATACCATATCAGTATAACTGCCACTAATCCATCTTATTAGATCATAGTGATTGAATTTACAACACATAAAGAAATCACATCAGATTATAAAATGGTACGTAATCATATAATACTGGGAATCATGACCCAGCCAAGTTGACAGATATTTTTGGGGGACACAATTCAATCCATGACAGACTCCCTTACGTTTCATTTCCTTTATCTTTCTTTCAGAATGAATAGCAGCCTAGTTCACTATGATTTTAGTAATATATCATTTATCAATATATCAATTATCTGGGAATATTTGCATTTTAAACAATCACCTTACTCCCCACTCCTTTGCAAAGCAATCAAAGCCTTAACCCAGAAAAATAATTTGAAAAGGAAGACTATCATTATTTCCCTGAAGGTAAATGCCACCTTCTGAGATTTTTGTTTACTGAAATAGTATCACAAACAAAACAGACTGCAGGATATTTACAGTTATCCAAGATAGCAAACATTCATGTACTTCTAAAACCATAGGAATGCCTGTTTATTAGTAGGTAATTTATTTGCCAAACAGAACTCATTTTAAATGTATTTCTTACATCACTTTCCTCCAGGAGCTAGAATAAACTCATTCCCATTATTTCATGCATTTAAATGGAATACTGCTGCATTTAGGAAAAAAATGCATAATTCAGTATTTCACTAGATCTGGTACTACATGCCCTTTTCCCCTACTATCTGTTTGACTTAGGATTAATTCTACATGGAATAAACATTAGTATGGAAACAAAGGTTGAATTGGGACAAAACACAAATTTGATCAAATGGTGTATCTACAGTTTACTTTTAGAGCTTTTTGTTTTAAATAAGAGAAACCAACTCTGACTGATAAGCCAGAATGGAATTGTTTGGACGATGTTGGGAAGCTCTTGCCATCAATGGAAAGACCTAGCAACTAAGTTTGGAAAATGGGCTAGGACCAAGAGAAGCTGAGTTGCTGCAATCACAGTGAAGGCCATGCCCCAGCACAAGCTAGGTAGGGCTGCTGGACACTGTTTGCTGCCTCAGCACTGCTGTCCCTGGATACTGGCCACTGGAATACTGGAACTATGGCAGTGGGCACTGGACCTTGCTGTCATCACCCTCTAGGTCCTGCCAGAGTTGGTGCCACCCAGATCCACTCTGCATCACTGACTTCAGTATTAAACCCAGTTGGCTGAGTCCAAGTCACGTGCTTGTATCCTGTGGCTAGGAGGTGGAGGAAGGGGGTATCTGTCCTTTCCAGCTTCAAGAGAGGGAGGCAACTAAATTCAAATGTAGAAAATGCCCAAACACAAAAAACCCACTTGCTGTAGAGTCATTTCCAACTCACAGGGACCCCATGTATGCCAGAGTAGAGCTGTGCTCCATAGGGTTTCCAATGGCTAATTTTTTCGAAACAGATCTCCAGTCTTTCCTTCTGAGATGTTTCTGGGTGGACTTGAACCGCTAACCTTTTGGTTAGCAGCCAAGGGCGTTAACTGTTTGCATCACCCAAAGATTCTCAAACAGACACAAATCAAACCAGTTGTCACTGAGTTGATGCCAACTCATGGTGTGTTTTCAAGGCTGTGACCTTTCAAATGCATATCCCCAGGCCTGTCTGCAGAGGCATCTCTGGGTGGGTTCAAATCGCCAATCTTTCAGTTAGTAGTTGAATGCTTAACTGTTTGTGCTACCAGGGACTCCAATTATTATAATCTTTTTTGTTTTGTAGTTTTACAAAAACACATACATTTTCTTATTTGTAGACACTTAAGTTGTAGACATTTTTAGTATTACCATTTTACAAAATTCTTGAGATTTAAATGTCAAAATAATTGGTTAGGGTTCCTCAGCTACTAACTGGTAGAGCTGGAGTTTTAATCCATGTCTTCATATATTAGGGCCTTTTCCTGGCTTACTGTTGTCAACTAATTTTTTTGTCTCCTGCTCCATTAGAATCCTCTATCTTATCATTTAAATATAAACAGACTCAGTTATGATCTCATTTTCTGTCATCTAGTAGATTCTTTTAATTATTTTTTGGTATCAATTATGATTTCACATCTCATGAGGTTTACACTGGAACTTTTGAATTAAAACAGAACTTTAAATCTTGTTGTGGTTAAATAATTGAGAGTCTGAAGAGATGGTCATTTTTTAAAAAGACTATTATACTGATGTATGGAAACTCTGGTGGTTAAGAGTTCGGCTGCTAACCAAAAAGTCGGCAGTTCGAACCCACCGGGCACTCCTTGGAAACCTTATGGGGCAGTTCTACTCTGTCCTATAGGATCACTATGAATCAGACTCGACTCGATGGCAATGGGTTGGGTTTTTTGGTTACACTGATGTACAACTGAAGTACAATAAACTGCACATGTGTAAAGTATAAAATTTGATGAGTTTTGACATATGTATACACTTGGTACCACCATCAACACAGCCAAGGCAATGAACATTCCATCATCTCCAAAAGTTTCCTCGTATCTCTTTGTAATCCCTCTCCATCTCCAGGCAACCACTTGATCTGCTTTATTTTGATAAGTTTGCATTTTTTAGAATTTTATATAAATGAATCATATAACATGTACTCTTTTTTTTGTCTGGCTTTCCCTCAGCATAATTATTTTAAGATTCATTCATGTCAAACATATCAAAAGTTAATTCTTTTTTATTGTTTAGTATTTCACTGTATGAATATGCTACAATTTGTTTATTCATTCACCTATTGATGGACATTTGGATCGTTTCTAGTTTTGGTTATTATTAATAAAGCTGCTATGGGCATTGGCCTCCAAACTTTTGTGTGGTTGTATAATTACATTGCTCTACCTAGGAGTAGAATGACTAGGTTATATGGTTACGTGTATGTTTAACTACGTAAGAAACTGCTGAACTGTTTTCCAAAGTGGTTGTGCCATTTTACATTCCCACCAGCAGTGCGTAAGTGTTCCAGTTTCTTCACGATTTAGCCAAGAGTTGGCAAGTCAGTCTTTTTAATTTTTGACATTCTAGTGGGTGGAGTAGTATCTCATTGTGGTTCTCATGATGACTAATGGGTATCTTTTTATGTACTTAAATGCAATCTGTATGTCCTTTTTGGTGAAATCTCTATTCAAATCTTTTGCTCATTTTTTAAACTGGGTTGCATATCTTCTTAGTATTGAATTATAAGAATTCTTTATGTATTCTAGATATGTTTTTTAAATCCTTTTTTGGAATATTTTCTCCCTGTCTGTGGCTTGCCTTTTAATGTTTGTATCAGCAAGCCATAGGGATTTTCATCCTGAGTTTTCCCTCTTGGGACACATTCTTATTGTCTTAAATCTTGTTGCCAGCTGCGTGCCTAGAATATAACTTATTGCTGAGTCTTTCCTATACCACCTTCTGCTTCCTAGACCGGACCACCTCTCAGTTATTAACAGTGGTCATTCTTCTGATTCTGTGTCCAAACTCCTTGCTACTCAGCATCTGTCTATAAGATCAGAGACCATGCCTGGCCAAGCACTGAGACTTCTGTGGAATAATCCCATTCTTTAGGACCCTGTACACACTCAAACTAAATACAGCCATCTAGGGATGAAACCAAATACTGACAAGTTTATGATGGTGATAAAGATTCTAGTCATTCATACATATTTATCAAATGGCTGCTATGTGTAAGGCCTTCTCTGTGATTCTAAAGGTCAAGAAAGAGAATCTAAACAGCTTACTACAGAATTCTGGAGGACTGATACTACATGCTAGTTCCATGGCATAGGACAGTGTCTGGGTAAGTGAGAGATACGGAGAATAGAAACTGTGGTTTTAAAAGTTACAAGTGATACTTTTAAATACGGAAGCCCTACTATTTAGATTGAGAAACTTTTCAAGATGCTTGGCATTTCCTATTAATGTGAAGATTTTTCACTCCTCCATTGTGAATATATATGAATTTATGACTTACATATCTTTCAGTACTATTTTCCATCTGAACTCACATATTGATTAAAGGGAAATTGTTCATAAGAGTTAAAGAATATCAACCTACTGATTATCTTTTATCAAATATTCAAGTGTCCTGATTCTAGACTATGGAATCTTGAACGGTGGAACAATATTTCAGTTCCCTATAAGTGCAATTGTAGATTCAGTTAGTACTTATGCCCACCACTGACCCAGGTTTGGGAATTTCTCAGAATTCGCTTCACAGACTTGTCCTCCCACCCCTGCTCTTCTGAATGTCAATTTTCAATGCAGCAGTTGCCTCCTCAGGATGAGATCCTTGGGCCATTTTCTTAGCAGTGGGAAAATTCCAATAGAATAGTGAAGAAGGACCAAGTCCTTCTCTGTTGCCTCGACAGCCTATGCTGGGACTCACCACTCCTGGAAGGCCCTCAGCCTCTCCTGGAAGGGACAAGTTCCTCATTGTTTCTGAGATGGTCTCTCGCAGGGGCCTTTCCTTGAGTCATGGGCTGACATACTCACACTTGGCTTTCTTTTGTATGGAGTTAAATAGTTCATTGTTCTATGCCAGCCGGACACTGCTCACTAAAGGATAATAGAACAAACAAAATTTCTATTTTAGTTTCTTATTTAGGAAAAAAAAAAGAAAAAAAAGGACATCCTTACAATCAAGTGTAGTTTCTTTTTTAAAAAAGAAACTTTGTTGTTTTCACTTTTAACCATCATTCTAGTACAGGGTGGAATCAAGGTAAACTTTGTCTTATTCCATTCTATAGAAATGAGCTGGTGTTTGTCACAACTTAGGCTGTGCATTGTATGATGAATTCCAGGTTCTAATACAAGTCTTCCTAAGAAATGAATAGCTGAATAGAGAAAAACTTAAAGAAAAAGCTAGTGTTTTGGCCTCTGAGGGAGGAAGATTTAACACGAGAAAGTGTGAATAGTAGGGAAGGCTGGTAATAAAACTGGTAGTCTGCAGGCAGGAGTCTTGGAAGATTTTGAAGGCAAATTCCAATTACAGGATAAAAGAAAAGGAAACCTATTGCTAAAACAAGGGTGTGTGACGATATTTGCAGCTGGGAACCTGATCAGAATGCAGAGGTGATAATAAAACACAAGTGGGGAAGGGAAACTTTAAAGAACTAAACGAATAAAGAGGCAAGGCAAAATATTTTAAATCATGTTTAATGAGCTTCAAATAGAACCACCCAAAAAGCAGAACTGAAATGTGCAGAGGAAAAAAAAAAAAAACTTGAATACCTCTCCTCCCTACGGTGAGGTGGGGGATGGAGAGAGAAGGATCCTATTCAACAAAGGGCTGTGGTAAGAGGGAGATCAAGTCGCAAGCACTCTGCAGGTGGGGTGTGGAAGGGAGTCGGGGTGCTCTCTCTTTTGCCTTGCCCTCTCCCCATTTTGTCTTGGCTGCTTTTCTGAGTTGATGATACACATGTAAGTGCCTCAAGCCATTTTTAGCAGCAGTCTCCTTGCATCCTGACTCATGTCACTGTGCACTGAACTGTAGCTGGCAGACCAGAGCTGAGATTAACAATATGACATGCCATTGATTGATCACCTCCTCACTGGGTACTTAATCATACACTGCAGCATCTGCCACTTAATATTTAAGGTTAATATGCTTTGTTTCTCTAGGGAGATTATAAGCACTGTGAGGACAAGGACTATAATCTATTTATCTTTGCTTTTATCATTTTGTTGCTGTTGTAAGTGGCTGTCCATTCGGCTCTGACTCATGGAGACCTTGTGGCTAACAGAACGAAACGTGGCCTGGTCCTGCACCATCTTCAGGATGGTTGGTACGTATGAGGCCATGATTGTGGCTGTTGTATCAATCTATCTAACTGAGGGTCTCCTTCATTTTTGGTGACCCTCTTCTTGGCCAAACATGATGTCCTTTTCTAGCAATTGGTCTTTCCTGATGATGTGTCTTGTTATAACAATAAAAAAATAGTCAAGAAATACATGTGGGATGGAGAACTCTTTTCCATAGCTGTTAGGGCTTCTAAAGGTCTTCAGAAAGAAGACCATCCAGATGTGAGGGTCATCGCAAGACATCTGCAGTCCTCAGACTAACCCCAGATGGTCTTATGTGTCCAGAAGCTCAGGAGCAGTCAACACACTTCTGAGCTCCGATTTTCTGATACGGTAGGTGCACCTAATCAGCCTTTGAATTGTTGTATTTCTAAGTGATAGAGGGATTGAGAGGCAGCCTCCTTTTCTTCCTCTTAATCTTGTACAGTCAGCTGTGCCTCAATACTGATGGATTCACACTGTAGAGGAACTGATATGGGAAAGGTGAGAGTCACAGTTGATGGCGGTGTTCTGAGGTCAGTAATGCACATCTCTGTATTGGGACTTCTAGTAGATGGGTTTTACCATATTTAGTGTTTTGGATTCACCAGAGCTTTTTCACTTAACAGTTTAGAAAATAAATGTGCTGAGAAGAACTAATTATCTGGGTAAACTATATGAAAGTGTGCAATGAATTACATATTACATATTAATGCTCAGTTCTCCTTTACTATGACTGAGGTTAGCTCTCTCTTATTGGTCAATGTTTCAGTCTAGATCTGGGTCTTGGTCTTGGTCCTGGATATTTACAAAATTTCAATGATGAACATTAAAAACAAATAAGTTGCCATCACGTCAACTCTGACTCATGATGACTCCATGTGTGTCAGAGTAGAACTGTGCTCCATAGGGTTTTCAATGGCTGGTTTTTTGGAAGTCAGTCTCCAGGGCTTTCTTCCAAGGTGCATCTGGGTGGACTTGAACCTCTAAACTTTCAGTTAATAGTGGAGCATGTTAATTGTTTGTACCACCTCAGGACTTCACCATGAACACACATTGCTTTTAAAACCAGAGAGGAAATAAGACACACTGGACGAGCAGGGCAGACCTCAAGCACTGCTCTGGGCCAGCTGAACTTGACAGTAGTGGGATAGTTGGGAGCAAAGAAGGGTGGCTTTTTAACCAACAGGTGGCAACCTGATGGCTAACACTGTTTTAAACTCAAGTTAACATTCCAAATGAACAATTATGTAGAATCAAGGAATGAGTCTTTTGTCCATAGACAACACCCAACACATCAGAAATGTCTTTGAAGTTTTGGTTGCCCTGGTTTCTTCTCAAGATCAGTCACCTACACACTGGCAGCTTGCTAGAAAGGCTCAGACCACAGTTGTTTAGCCAGCAAGAGCCAGAGCATAACTGTGAAGGTTAAGTGCTTAGCAGTTGGTTTTGAAACTGCTTCTTGAACTTGATAGTGATGTAACATTTTCTATACAACTTCCATGCTAGTTTTCACCAAGTAATAAGACACTGGAGTCCACCTGTTTTAGAAAAGGATGAAAATTGTGCACCACAGTTGAATAATTGCCATGGCAAAAAAACAAAAAGAAAGACAACCCTGTGTTTTGCTCCTCATAATGGTTTAATGGAGCCCTGGTAGCATAGTGGTTAAGAACTTGGCTGCTAACCAAAAGGTCAGCTCTTCAAACCCACCAGCTGCTTCTTGGAAACCCTATGGGGCAGTTCTATTCTGTCCTATAGGGTCGCTATGAGTCAGAATAGACTGGTCAGCACCTAATCACAACAACAACAATGGTTTAACATTCCTACAGAATCCATTCTACCTTGGGGAAGACCTATTGGCTGTGGAAAAAGCCATTTATTATGGTGATTTGGTTTAAACAGAAACAAGCTCCATTTTTTTCCTTAGAATTCTAAAATTTTCTTCAATTTTGCATCTGTGCTAATTAAAAGTAGGTGTAATTTAAAAATGAAGTAATCTCATCCTCATCCCTCAGAAAAAAAACCCCTAAAACAGTATTTTTCATGGTTTATTATAGTTGCTCTAAAACACCTGTTAAAACAAAAATCATATTAAACTAGTAAGAGAAATTGAAGAAAGTCTATTTAATATATCATTTTTAAATAGGGGTAACATTTCAACTAGGGAGTAAAAAACATTCCTAAGATGAAAAAAAGCTTCCAAAAATTCTTATACCGCATCTTATTGACATGGCCATGGAAGAGGTTCAGAACAAAACTGATAAAACAATTTGTGATCAGGAAGGATATCACACAGCATTGTCTTGAAGAACAATAAAAATAATCACTGATTTACCCTAAAACATAGCTCCAGTCTGACCTTTGGAGTCTCTATTTCTTGGAACTGCCTGCACATAGAACTAACTGCACAAAAGAACACAATGCCTAAGGCAAATGATCTTCACTCATTTATCCAGACCACTCTTGGACTCAAAAGGTAACTTCAGAAGACAGTTTTCTCAGGACTCAAGGATCAAAAGAAGATCTCAAGGAAATGGCCTGGGTGGGTCACTCCAACTCCATGAAAGCCAGCAATTTGGATTCCAGTAGAAATAACACTGTTTCTCATGCTAATGCAGAGTCCACTTAAGCAGTAGAATGAAACCGTTTGTGTAACTGCTGGGTAGGATAGCAGGTTGTGTACAAGCTCTGACATCAGATGGCCTGAATTTGTTCCCCATCCTACCATGAAGTAGCTTTGTAATCTCTGAGTCCTCAGTCTCTCTTATCTGTATCAAAAGTGCTTGTTTTATGGGAATGTTAGAAAGATTAACTGAGATAATGCGCTTAGAACTACATCTCGCATGTCGTATGTGCTCAATAAATACACCACTTACCTTGGAGACCTACCAATAAATTTAGTAAAGCCCTTACTGAAAAAGATGTGATTTTAATGAGCCATTTAATCAATGGGAAATATCTTGTAGAAATAGAGGATTTAACAAATTCCAAAATTAGCAAATGGTATATGATAAATTGAGGGAGCTGGGAGGCAAAGTGCAGGGAGGGTAATACAACCAGTTAGATCAGGTTAGAAGGTCATTTTTTCATTAGAGTATGAGAATGAGAAAGAGGGTGATGTGGGAACTTGTTATGAGAGCATGTGGTCATTACCATTCTAAATCCTTCTGGAAAGAGAGAGGAGAATAGTGGAATCACGTTAATGAGGGTTGCAAGTTTCAGAAGTTAAACCAGTTTCTACATTTGTGAACTCCTGCAGAACATCCAGAAGATAAGAGAGAGTGGTCAGGAAGGTAGATGGGAAAACAGAGATTAAATTCTTGGGGTTTTGTTCGGTCTATTTTGTTAAATCAATTTTGTTCATTCTATCTTTCCCTTTGGATTCTTGTGAATCATCTTTTCAATTTATTTTTAAGGTCTTGATATGGGTTGAATTATGTCTCCCCAAAACATGCATTATAAACATGTTATAAATCCTAATCCTTGTGGGATGTAATTCCATTTGGGAATGGGGATTTGTTTGTTATGTTAATGGACTGTGATGGTTAAGGTTGTGTCAACTTGCCTGGGCCATGATTCTCAGTGGTTTGGCAGTTATGTAATGATGTAGTTATCCTCCATTTTGTGATATAATGTAATCACTTCCATAATGTGATCTGATATGAGCAACCAATCAGTTGTAAAGGGAGTTTCCTTGTGGGTGTGGCCTGCATCCATATATATGGACGTTCTGGCAAACTCACTGGCTTTTACTTGCACTGGATCCTGCATCT